TCCTGTACCTTGGTTCTCCTCAGACTCAGCCTCCACAACAGCCTGCAGGGAGTCCTGGACTTCTTTGCTGTAAACTTTGCTTCTCAACTAGTATTCTCTTTTTTCACACTGTATTTACATTTTTGTACCAGATAGATAACAAAACATTTTTAATTTCAACAATCTTTGCATGTACAGTTTGCTGATATCATGTTCATCGTGTTGTTCAGCCGTCCCCGCTCTCCACTGCCCACCACCCTCCACAGTAGCTCCGTGTCTCCTAGGCAGTGAGTCCTCCACACCCCCTGCACTCCTTTTGCTCTTGGTAAACACTAATAAGCTTTGGTTTCTATATACTTGCCTATTCTGTGTGCTTCATACAGTGGGATGATACATTATTCGCTTTTTCGTGACTGGCTTACTTCACGCAGTATAATGTTGTCCAGGTCCATCCATGTCATCACATGTATGGGGCTTCATTTCATTTCTCCTTATAGCTAAGTATGTAGTATGTTTTTTATCCATTCTTCTGTTGATGAACACTTGGTTTCCACACTTCGGCTATTGTAAATAGTGCTACAATGAACACCGGTATACATTTAAACCAGGACTCTTTATGTTCCTTGAACATTCCATGAACACTGTTATGAATGGAGTTATAAATCATTCAATAAATATGTATTTTAAACCCTAGCCCTTATTCTATTGGAAATATGGTCTTGGTGAGAGAAACCCCACTGGAGATTTCATGGTAGAATTTTGCAAGACCAATAACTCATTCATTGCAAATGCCTCCCTTTTACATAAATAACAGCTATAAATGTGGATTTCTTTGCATGGAATATAGAGGAATCAAATCAACAACATCTATGGAAAGAGATTATGAAGAAGCTCCACATCATCAGTCAGAACAAGGGACTGACTGTGGATCAGACTGTCAAGTGCTCTTAAGCAAGTTTAAGCTAAAGCTAAACAAAGTTAAAACCAGTCTACAAGAGCCAAAATATGACTTAGAGTATACCCCACCTGAATTTAGGAACCATCTCGAGAATAGCTTTGACACATCAAACACTAATGACCGCGACCCAAGACCAGACCAGTTGTGGGATGACATCAAGGACATTGTACATGAAGAAAGCAGTCCTTAAAAGGGCGGGAAATAAAAGACCAAAATGGGTATCAGAGGAATTTCAGAAACTTGCTCCTGTGGAGCTGAACAGAAAGTGTCAACTAGCAGTTCCAGAATATCCAGTATTAGAAGGAGATGTGCAAACACCTGGACTTAGAAAACCAAAAGGAAAGGGCATGTTTGGCATTTTTCAACTGGGGGAAAGAAAAACAAACTGGAGATAAAATATATCAGCCTTGAGTTGCACTTTTGAAGGATTCTACGGCCCAAATATTGATTGAACAGCACAAGAAGCATCAAAGGGAAATGGAAGGAATACACAGAGACACTATACCAAAGGGAATTGATGGTCAACCATGTCAGGTGGCAGCATCTGATCAAGACTGCTGATAGCGAAGGAAGAGGTCAAACTACACTGAAAGACAAAACTTCTGTAATTGATCAAAGACCAAGTAAAATTTTAACAAATGGATACAGAATTAGAGGTACTTGCTCATCCATGCCAAGAAAAGCAGAAGACAGCTACATGTCCAACCAACTGGGGAATAAAAAACATATTCATACCCTTTCTTTAAAAAGGCAATCCAATAGAATGCAGAAATTATCAAACGATATCATTACTCTCGCTTGCAAGCAAAATGTTGCTGAAGATCAGAGCAGTACAGGGACAGGGAACAACCTGAAATTCAAGCCAGATTCAGAAGAGGATGAGGACTGAAGGCCATCATTGCTGATGTGCGATGTAGCTTGGCTGGAAACAGAAAATATCAGAAAGATGTTTCCCTGTGTTTTATTGAGTGTGCAAAGGCAGTGTAGACCTAATAAATTACGGATATTATTTCAAAGAATTGGCATTCCAGAACATTTGTACTCGTGTGGAACCTTTTGTTCGAAGAGAACAAGGTCACCCTGCATGGTTTAAAACCAAGAAAGGTGTGCGTCGGGGCTGTGTCCTCTCACCATACTTACTCACTCTGCATGCTGAGCAGATCTTCCCAGCAGCGGGACGCTCTGTCGAAGAACGCGGCAGGGGGTGGGAGGGAGACTCCTTAGCAGTGCAGATGACATAGCCTTGCCTTTTGAAAACGAAGAGGACTGGAAGCACTTACCGATGAAGGTCAAAGATCACGACCTTCGTGAAGGCCTGTACATCAACAAAAAGAAGACAGAAATCCTCACACTGGACTGGCAAAGGAGTCCTCGTGGAGTACCGGGTTAAGTGTTTGCTCGCTGAGCCGAGGCTTGGCAATGCCCACTCAGCAGCCACTTAGTGAGAGAAAGATGAGGCTGACTGTTCCCATAAACTTTTACAGTCTCTGAAGCTCTAACTAGTGCTGGTTTGAGTCAGAAATGATGCGGCGGCGGTGTGTTTGGATTTTGGGTTTGAACCCACAGGTGGCATCATGCTTAAATGGAGACAATGTTGACGCTGTTGGGGTTCATTTCCTCACATCCACAGCCCGCACTCATGGAAGCCACAGTCAGGAAGTCCCATGACCTATTGCACTGGGCAAATCTGCTACAAAAGATCCCTTTCAAGTGCTACAAAGCAAAGGTGTCCTTGGCGGACCCAAGCCAGGGTATTCTCCATGGCCTCGTAGGCAGGTGAAACTGGACAGTGACTAAAAATGGATGCCTTTAAGTCACGGTGTTGTGGAAGAATATTGTGGAAGAAATTCAAAGGCACCTGAAAGGACCCTGGTTTGGAGTTGCCTGTGTTTTAAGCCAATCGCCCTTGAGATCTACAAAGATGAGGGTAGGCGCAGGGAAAGATGCACAAACACACCGCACGAAGACTGCCAAGGACACAAGCAAGAGATGGTGAGAAGAGACGAGAGCTTTTCCTCCAAGCTGGCAGGGTAGGAAAGCCTCCCCCGAGGGCCGCCATCTGTATTTGGACCACCGGCCTCCTGAACTGTGAGCAAGCACAGTTCTGCTCATTAAAGTTGCCCGTCCGTGGTATTTCGGCTTTAGCAGCACTAAGAAACTAGGCCCAGAGTTTGGGCATTTCCAAGTGGTCTTGATAGTGTTGAGTGTTTAGCCAAAGCCCACAGCCTGCTGGGAGAAGACCTCATCCCCTTGCAGTTCTCTGGCTCTACCCTTCACCCAGCGACAGGCCAGGTGGCTGTTCTGGCTCACCAAGGGAGAGGTTTCTGCCACCTCCTCACAGTGCTCCCTAAATATCTTCCTTCGCATGGCTGGACGTTTTCCTTGCTTCTCCCTGTGAGCTGTGCCTTCGACAGTACCCATCCTGCCCACCTGTGTTTCTAGTGGCTCCTCCCCTTCTGCCCTACAGATATGCTTCCTTTGATGGACCCCCTGGCCTCCAAGTTGGGTCTCAAATCACTCCAAAGAGCATCCCAAATGTTTGTAAACAGAAAGCTAGTTCTTTCACCTCACTCATCCTCCAGCCTGCTCCTTGCAAGGCTCCCGGGGTCCTCTCCCCACTTCTCAGCAGAGATTCCAGCCAGAGAGCCCTTTCACTTAATACGTTTCTGCAGTGTTCTTATTAGAGCCTGATAATGTAGCTGCTGAAATAATTAAGACTAACCCACACGTGTCAAATCAAATGAGCCAAATACATTGAGAAATTGCTTCATCCTCAATTTCTTTAATTAGTCAGGCTTCAGAATGCACACACACACTTCGTATCCATTCCCGCTCATTGGAAAACATCAAACATGGTCAGTGAGACCCTTATACTACCTGGCAGTACCCATGGTTTTTTCCTAAAGCAGTCACCCTAGAGGGCGACTTGTTGCCTGACAAAGGGTGGGTTTAATTGGGATGACAGAGAAGGTCCACATAAGATCAAACCATCCAGCGGGTGTGCACACTCTCAATCTTTAAAAGAACTGTGCCCCTCTCCCTCCCCCCCTGAGAGTCCAGAGGACTGTTCTGGAAGACCAGCTGGAACATTGGCTCAAACCCATGCAGCACCTCCCTCTTCAATGCTCCCCTTCCCCCCAGAGCTCATGCCAAGAACCCAAGCTCCCGTTCTCACTGCGAGCCGTTGCTGATGTGCTTCAAACGGGCAGAAGAAGACGGTCAATAGAAAAGATACTGGGACTTATCAGCAGTTGCATCATTCTGATGATGAACAATGCACACGCAACCATAATGCCTGTCGTCGTCAGCATGTTGAGGTTTCAATACTTGTCTGTGACACGAAGCAATTGTTCATTCTCTGGAGCTCAGAGCCTCCCAGCTTGTAGTTCCGCTGGCCCCTCCTGGCATGCTGCATTCCTGCCTCTTGAAGTTGTTGGTCGAAAGGCTCCACAAATATAGTAAGTAAACATCAAAGGGGCTTTGATCCACAAGGCCCTCGACAGAGCTACAGCCCCTGAAGGAAGGGCCAAGGCCTTGGATAAGGGAACTTAACATCATCAATTTGGACGCTCGAGATGTAAGGCTGTTTGAAGGGAGGGTGGTTTGGCCCATACCTTCAGACATGAGAGCAGGGAAGGAGCGAAACAGAAGGGAGCGCCTTTGGAAAAAGCACGCTTAGATCTGCTGCTCTGCTCTTTACTGCTAGTCAATAAACCCCTTTAAAGGATCAGGAGATCAAAGCTAGTGACCTCCCTGCACCCCGGCATTCTGCCACCAGAACTGAGCTTTGTTTTTCTGTGAGGCAAGAGCCCCCAAGCATGCCTTATCTGCCTCTCACGAGCCCTGTGCTCCCTTTCATCCTGCTTCCCGTGGGGGTGGGCCTGGGTAACAGGAGGCAGGTGGAGCGGGGGAAGGAAGGAGGAGCCCCCTGTGTCTATACTCTACAGCCAGACACAGACGGCCAAGCCTCGGAGCACTACCCAGTGTTGTAGAAGGGGCAGGGCCCACAGCTCCATGGAACCCTCTTGCTGTGAGAAGGAACTGATAGAAGGAATAGAATTGATAGAAGGAATAGCTGAGTGCCCAGAAAGCCTGGTAAGGCCAGAGGGTAACTTGGGGGAACTGAAGTCTTATTCCCTCTTCCAGAAATCATACCTTCTATCCAGTTGCCCAACATACGGCAGCTATTACTTTTGTCTGGCTTCTGAGCAAAGGTGTTGGGTGGGGCGTCTAAAATAATCATGAGAAGACACGTACAATTTTTGAACCTCCATTTTCTCATCCACATAATGTGAATAGCAACACCTGATCTTGCCCTCCCTCGTGGGGTTGCTGTGAGGCTTGCAAGAAAACTCTGGTGCAGAATTGCTTCAAAATCCGCACAAGGCTTGGGAACAAGTGGGCTTAAAGGAGAAACACCAGAGACAAAAGCCTGCCTTCTTGTAAGGCAGAGGTAGTCCAGGCCAACACTCATGCATAATGGAAGCTGGTTTACAAAGTGCTGTGCAAAGACAATAAGGACTCCTGGGAGTGCAGTGGTTAAAATGTTCAGCTCTTACGCAATGCAACTTCGGTTTTAAGCCAGTCACTCGTGTGGCTTCCATGAAGACAGACAGCTTGGAAGCCCTATGCAGCAGTTCTGCTCTGTCCTATTGGGTCACCACGAGTTGGGAATCTCCTCGAGAGCAGGGGGTGGGTACAAAGAAATGCTCTCTTGGAATTGTTGCTTATCTCTCTTTTTTCTGATAAGGTCATAAACCCAGGGTCTATCGCTCAGGTCTCTTGGCCGTGCATCTCGTGTGCTCTCCACCAATAAGTGCTCCCTAATGGTATTGAATTGTGGCTGGTTGTCACTTGATATAAGGTGCAGGGATCACCAACCCCATGAGTATCTTCCTCATGCTATCTTCTTCCTAGTGAGCCCCCTTCTTCTCCTCTCCTCTCTCTTCTTCTCCTGCATTCACCAGTCCAGTTCCATTGTCATATCGCATTCAGAGTTCCTTACCTTTCTCCCCCGAGACTCACTCCATCCCCAAAGATAGTCCATCTGCCCATACCTCATCCCTTGTGTCTTCCCCAAGCTGACCCCCATCGCTTCTTCAACCTTCTCACTCACTCATTGTCTGGCTGGACTACTCCATCTTAGGTACCACCGGCTGGGCTCCGCCTCTCTGGCCACAACCCAGGGTGATTTGGGCACAATTCCCAAGCCTAGCCCATAAGTGTGTAGAGTGATCGCCATGATCGTGGACTCCAGAGCCAGACTGCCAGGTTCAAACCCTTGGTGCTGCCACCTACTAGCTTTCATCTAAGGCAGTATCCTAGCTACTGCAGATTCATCTGTAAATGAGAATGATATAAAGTGGGGATAATACTAGTATGTACCTCATGGGGTTGTTTTGAGTATCAAATGAGTAATTAGTGGCTTAAAATTATGCCTGGAATATAGTGCGCACTATATAAAGGTTGTTAAATAAACACATTTCTGTGTTTAGAAGAGCAACAAACTGTGCATCCCCTGCAGAGGGGCTTTAGTAACAGACAGCCCATTCCCAACTCACCCACCTCTGTTTTCCTTCCAGAGCTGGGCCTCCAGAAGAGAGGATGTTGTCTAGTGCTGGGCTACATGGCCAAGGACAAGTTTCGGAGAATGAATGAAGGTCAGTTGGCACCTCTCTGATCTCTCAGGGTTAATATAAATGGAGGAAGCTATGCCCAACAACCCTGGCACAGAGGAATGAGGAAGAGAATCACGAGGCATCTCAGAAAGGATGGTGGGCAGATAGACCTATCTGAATTCCATGAAGCGATGTAGGCAGTGAAGTCTTTAGGGGGTGCAAAGGATTCATGTGCTCAGCTGATAACTGAAAGGTTGGAGGGTTGTACCCAGCCCTAGGCACCTCAGAGGAAAAGCCTTATGATCTACCTCTGAAAAGCCAGTCCTGGAAACCCTGTTCTACTCCGATACACATAGGGTCACCATGAGCTGGACGCTGGATGTTCAACTTGACAACAACTGGTTTTATCCCGACAGTCATATAGGGAGGAGCAGCTGATGCCTGAGTCATATGAATCTTCCTCATGCTGTCGTTCTTCCTCCTACCGTGCCCCTTACTTCTCTTCCTCTTTCTCCCCGTCTTATGATCTCCACCTCTCATCCAGTGCAATTAAATCTGCTTCCATGATCAGTCTTCATTTAGTCACCCCAAACCAGCAGCAAGTACTCTGTGAGGGTGTGTGTGTGTGTGTGTGTGCGTGGTTGTGTGCATCAATGTATACATAGGGGCACTGGGGGGGACAAGATGAAAGGAGGGAGGGAGAGGAGGGAAATGCCTTGGACACTGTTGACACCTCTGTTGTCTCTCTATCTCTGAACGCTTTGCTTGATTAGTAATTCACCTTTGTTGAATGTATCCTCAATCATTCGTGTTTCGTGAACACCTGTCAAGTAAACGGCAACTTACAGGGCGCTTAGGAAAATACCAGGGAGGCTCCTTTTACACTGGATCATTCCTTGGAGGCTTGACTGGGATGCAGAAGGCTTGGGGAAGGTATTGACAGTGACCTGAGGCTGGGGTGTAAGAGAGTGCAGTCACTTATGGGTCTGGTACAATGAAGGCCCAGTCCCCTCCATGCCTAGTCGTCTGTCTTTGTACCACAATAACCCTCTCAATCAGATGGCACCGATGGTCTGTCGGGATTCAAAAGGAGAAACACAGTCCGGGGGGTGCCATTGATTCATTAAAATCAGACAAATGAAACCCTGATTCACACCAACTCAGCAGGTTGTGGACTGGGCTCCACCTTTCCCAAGATGCCAATAGCCTTGTTCCCATTCCAGGTACGGAGAAGGCAACTCGGCCCTGCTATCTCTATCCCTGGCCTCAGGCCATAGCATCAATGTGGTGCTCCTGTGCTTCCCATGCTCCTGAGCCGGCTCTCTTCACAACCCACAGTCCCTAACACCCACACCCTCATTTCCTCCCCAGACCTGCAACTCTCCCAGCACCTGCCAGAGTGACAGTTTGACAAGCGTTAGGTCGGCACAATTAAGCACAGGAAGTGCTCACCTCTGCTAGTTGCCACCTGTCTGTGTAGGAAGGCTGCAGCTTCAAGAAGCCTCTTCTCATTTGTAGGAGTGTCATGACTGAGCACAGTTGGGGCAGGGGTCACAGGGGTGAAGGAGCGTTGCATCTTCTGCACCCCATCAGTCAATCTCCCTCACTGACTTTTCTTCTTTCTCAGTCTGCCCCTTCCCTTCCCAGCACCACCTTCCCGGGAATGCTGGGCAGTAAATTCTAATTTGTGGAAACTGACGTCGAGCCTCTGTCCGTGGTGCTGAATAGACATGTTCTCTTGCTGGCAAAGCTCATTAGAGGAGCAGAAACAAGGCTCACAGAAATTGGCTGAGCAAAAAAGCCAGGAACTGGGCCGGATTTGAAACTCCAAGATCCAGGCATCTGACCTCAGAAGAATACCGATTCAAGTTCCCAGAGCCTAAAAAAGAATCATATCACAAATCTGATGGACCCGATATGACAGCCGCCTCCCCCACCACCACCACCACCACTTTCTGCCAGGGGTCTGAGTGTGTTTACCGTAAGAAGAAATCACAGTGGTAATTCAACCACGACATGAGGGAAATTGTGAGCGAAAGGAAGTCCGTGTTAGGTAGGGTAGTACTCTTTAGATACTATTGAAGTACAGAAGGCAGGATGAGAGTCAGGGAGGATGAAAGCAGGACTTGGAAATGAAACCAGGGATTCGAGTAGTTAACCTTACTTTGAGCAACGACTAAGCTATAAAGCAACAGGTTTAACAGTTCTTCCTTGTTACGATAAGACGAAACCAAAACAAAGCCTATTCTGTCTGAAGTCCCCTCTCCAAACACATGCAATCCACACAGACAAGTTATTCTTTCCACTGATTATGATTCATTTATGAGGCTGAGAGCCATCGGTGCCTTATTCTAACCTGCTACCCCTCACAGTGAAGCCGGAGACTCAAGCAAGGAGTTCAGAGAGAGGCAGGCAGCAAAGGCACCAACAGTGTCCAAGGAACTCCCCTCCCCTGCTTCCCTTCTGGCATCCTCTTCTCCCAAATGCCCACTGGACACACTCACACACACAGTCTCACACACACACACACTGTAGCTGCGGCTGCTTCTGAATAAGCAAGGAGAGGCGGGGTTGTGAGCAAGCTCTGCCTCCAAGCGCCATGAGTTACGGGATGGGGGGCCACTCATGGAGTGGGTCAGCTGTTTGGCTCCGGAGAGTGGAATCAGGAGGTGAAACGGAGCAGGGGTTTGGAGGATGAAGAGTCCCCTTCATCCACTCCAACCAGCCTCACCGCTACGGTCCCACGCATGACCTTGTCTTTGCGTCCTAAAGCTCACAGGCCTGGAATCCAACATGTCCACAGAGAAGGAAACCATCGGCAAGGATAGGAAACTGCTTTACGGTTTATAATTATCTTGTGCAAATATGTAAAATAATCTTAGCTCTCACTTATTAATAATTGAACTGAAATAGCAACCACAACATATATCAAGAAGCAGAAAGCTCTGTCCGGGCTGCACAGGGCACCTTGGTATAAATGGAACAATGGTGAAAGAGTAAAAGTAATTCTTTTTCTCCAAGATGCTGGAATTAGTGAACTATTGGAACAATTAGATGCTTCTTCCATTAAAGATAAGATAGTGATCATTATATTTCCAATTTAGAGTAACTGTAAAAGACCTATCTGTGCTCTATGAAAGAGTATTTCTTCTACTTAGCAGTATCTCATATGGTGCCTATCACCAGGGAAGAAGTGGCCCCCTATTTCATTTGCTTCCTTGCTAATTTGGTATCATTTTATCTTCTTTTCCCTCCATCACCCCTCCCCGCAAAATGTAACAACTTGAGAAGGAGCAAGAGGGAAATAATGAATGAACGGAATCTTTATAGATCTGGGGTTTACCATAAGCTAGAGTAATCGCAATTGGTGCTGTTAAACTACACAAAGCAATAAAAAGAAAATGCTATTCGAAGATCGTTTAAGGAGGCATGTGATAGTCAATGAGAGGTCCGCTCTGTTTGGAAGCACTTAATAGCTTCTTGGGTAGAATCTGCAGCATTTGCAGGAATGGAGGTGGGGGTCATCTGTGGGGGTGTGAGCGGATGCGTTCTTTTCTGTTTGGACTCAACACATTTGAGGCAGCAAGTATAGATATATACAAAAATCAACAAAGGGGAGCCAGGAATACCAACTGTGCTTGGCACGATCGTCTCCACGTGGCCCAGCACACGCTGCTTTAAACAGGGAAGCCTGAAGGAGACTATGTCTTCATTCAACAGTCATGGAATACCTGTGCCTTCGCTCCCAGAGCTACTGCAGCACTAAGACTACGCCAAGTACTAGCGTTGTGTTCGTATAGTGGAGTGCAGTCTTCGCTTTAACGAGGAGAAATGTATTTCCTCACAGTCTGGAGGCTGAAAGTCCAAACAGTGTCATGTCACTTCCGTCTGTGTGGCTGGCCCTGGGTGGCCTGTGATTCCTGGGCACCCTCACATGGCATCTGTCTTCCCTAGTACATGCTTGCTTCAGTGTCTGACTCACTCTTCTTATGACTCAGAATGGCCAGGTTTAGGGCACACCCGATCCAGGGAGCCTGATTAACAAGGCAAAGAAAAGCCTGCTCCCAGACAGGATTACAGCCAAGGGGAGTTGTTTGACACTGAGTGGGTCCCAACTCATAGGGACACTCTCGGACAGAGAAGAGCTGCCCTATCAAGTTTCCAAAGGAGCACTGCTGGTGCCGAGAAGTACGCACTGTATTGCTAACTGCAAGGTTGGTGCTTCAAATCTACCAGCCTCCCTGAGGGAGAGTGATGAGGCCATCTGCTCCTGTCAAGAATTACAGCCTTGTAAACCCTGCAGGGGTTACTATGAGTCAGAAGCATGGCAATGACAGTGGATTGGTTTGGGTTTGGAGATAGGGTTTCCAGGTCTGAAATCTCCTGTGGTGTGCTGGACAATCAATTAGCAGCGAGCACTTAACCACTGTGCCACCAGGGCTCCACGAGCATAGGCGTTAGGATTCCAAAACATATTATGAGGAAATGCAATTTAATCCTTAATAAGCTACCATAAAAACAATACCAATGTTTGATCATCAGTGCCAGGCATGTTCTAAGTACAGGTGATATTAAAGCAAAGGAGCCATAGGCCCTGCTCTCAAGAAGCTGACCATAAAAACACGCAGGCAAATCCCAGTGTCCACCTTCCCTCCACAGAGAGCTCCGGCATGGCTGCCTTCTCTCCGTTAGGTGCCCCCACAGCACCACCGCTGTGCTCCGTTGTGGCAAGCAGGTTGTTTATTCTGTGGCACTGGCCATCTTTTGTGTGATGTCTTGGTGGTGGTAGACTCCTCACCTTCCGTGCAGGAGACCCAGGTTCAAGTCCTGGCCACTGTCCCTCGTGCACAGACATCACTTCTCTGTCAATGGAGAATTGCCTGCTGAACAGATGGAGTTTCCAGATGGAGCCAGACTCGGAAGAAAGGCCTGGTGACCAACGTCTGGAGATCAGTCAATGAGAAGCCCGTGGGTCACAGCTCATTCTGTTGTGCAACTCACGGAGATGCCGTAGGTCAGCGTGCCCTAGCAGCTAGCACAAC